AGGGTTACACTGATATATTTATTGTTTCTTCTGCAACATTATGCTTGAGTACACAGACAGGAAGCACTTATTTCACAGTGACAAGTTCAATGTGCCGCCCTCAGCATCCTGATGGAGGGTGACATTTGGGCTGTCCAGAGGACATGCTGAGTGAGCTATGTATCAGTGAGGCGGCATTTACGCCTCATTGGTACGGCTTGTCACTAATCGATGCAACATCCACCCAACATAACTCTCTCGTGTTGTTTTTTTCCCCGTCTCGGATGTATTGTTGTTTGGTTTTTATCCTGCATGCTCAGAAAATGGAGCACGACTCCGGGACACCTTACAGATAAATAAATGGAACAAGCGGTCTATGTTTTTTAATAAGGTTTTTATTGCCACATTTCTCTCACCTGCGTAATAGAATTGATTGCTCCTCCACACCTGTCTGCACTTTTAAAGTTTTAATGGGAAAATAGTAATTCCTCTGCATGAAAACAAACTTTGAATCAGCGCTAAAATACAATTTATACCAATCATCGTTGAAAGAAACGATAAAACAAATCCTGAAAGCTGTTGGCTAAGTGTAATTAATTTATTTCAGTTGATGCACTTTATCTTTTTACGCTGATGGAAAATATTTCTAAAATTGACCTAGCGGTTGTTCATACTAGACACTATTATTTTTAACTGTGATTATTTCGCTACCCATTACTAATTTAGAAAAATATAAAATGCTTTAGGTTTTTTTAATTTCAAACCTATCTAAATAACACCCTGACACATAGGAACGTGTCTTACTTTTAATCCCTTTTGTTCCAATTCAACTGAATGAATGAAATTTTAATTTGAACGATAATTTTGAGCAAAAAATTAATAAAAAACACAATAGAATTACATGTAGAGAGATCACTTGAAAAGGAGGATGAAGCATACACCTATTTACTCCTACCCACTGGTCACATTCAACTTATAGTAAAGCATGTCCCTATATATAACACTTTTAATATACATTGTACTTCATATGAAATTGCACCAATCTTCACTGTCAATAGACCACATGTAATTAACTTTATTATAATCAATATTCCGTTTTCTAATGATTGATTGTTAGAGGAATGTAAGTTATTGCTGAAAATAGATTAACATAACAGTAGTACTGCTGCTCTCTGGAACAGGGGAGGCTCAATGGTGTTAATGAAATCCAAACGTCACGTATAACATTAACAAATATTAAAACCCATAAAACACACCACTATAATGGGTGAAAATTGCTGCTCAAAAATAATAAACTCCAGAAACCACGGCAAGAGTTCAGCACGATTACTGTTCTGACTGAATTAAAACTTTTCCTCTCGACTCATGAGGAAAACCTCTTCGCTGTCTGGCCACTGTCGGTCAAAAATCGTTCAGTATGTTAGCCAATCAGCATCGAGCAGCCAGCTTCATGACCCGCCCTGCTCCATAGACCCCCTAAGAGATTTAGCCTCACTGGAAGTGACGTACTTTGCCGTGTTATCCAATCAGGGCTCTGCTTTCTCGCTGCTTACCTCAGTAGACTGAGGTTCTCATAGAGGCTGACAAGCAGCGTCCTGCTGCTAAAGATTGGAGGATTCGGAATAACTGGGTGATTAATGCGCAGCATACTTATTAAATCAGGCAAATTTGAGCAAATATTTAATGCAGTTTATGAAGTTTGACAATGCATACTTTATTATGAATTTTCTAGGCTTTTAACACTGGGTGACAATGTATTATTTGGGGGGCTCAATATATAAAGGTTTCAGTTAAACTACAAACAACAGTTATTTTCCTCAATGTTTATTGATTAAATTAAAGTTGTTTATGTTCCAAAATGTATATTATTTATGTACTGTACAACTTAATATAAATTAAGTATAGCGCAAAAAAAGAAATAAACAAGTACTCAATGTGCTCCTTGGACTAAACAAATCCAGTAATAAACAAAAACTGAAGGTAAATTTGAAAATGTCAAAACAAGGCAGGGCAAGCAGTGGTGCATATTTAAATGTGTACCACAAGAATAATAGAACCAAACAAAAAAATATATAAAGCCCTTTAAAACTGAGTGTAGTTGACCACTGCCCAGTATTATGACACCAGGTTCACAAAAACAATCAGAACGGCAGAATTCTGTGTGACTTCAGCTACAGTGGGGCAAAAAAGTATTTAGTCAGCCACCAATAGTGCAAGTTCTCCCACTTAAAAAGATGAGAGAGGCCGGTAATTTTCATCATAGATATACCTCAACTATGAGAGACAAAATGAGGAAAAAAAATCCAGAAAATCACATTGTCTGATTTTTAAAGAATTTATTTGCAAAATATGGTGGAAAATAAGTATTTGGTCAGTTACAAAAGTTAATCTCAATACTTTGTTATATACCCTTTGTTGGCAATGACAGAGATCAAACGTTTTCTGTAAGTCTTCACAAGGTTTTCACACACTGTTGCTGGTATTTTGGCCCATTCCTCCATGCAGATCTCCTCTAGAGCAGTGATGTTCTGGGGCTGTCGCTGGGCAACACGGACTTTCAACTCCCTCCAAAGATTTTCTATGGGGTTGAGATCTGGAGACTGGCTAGGCCACTCCAGGACCTTGAAATGCTTCTTACGAAGCCACTCCTTCGTTACCCGGGCGGTGTGTTTGGGATCATTGTCATGCTGAAAGACCCAGCCACATTTCATCTTCAATGCCCTTGCTGATGGAAGGAGGTTTTCACTCAAAATTTGACGATACATGGCCCCATTCATTCTTTCCTTCACACAGATCAGTCGTCCTGGTCCCTTAGCAGAAAAACAGCCCCAAAGCATGATGTTTCCACCCCCATGCTTCACTGTAGGTATGGTGTTCTTTGGATGCAACTTAGCATTCTCTCTCCTCCAAACACGACGAGTAGAGTTTTTACCAAAAAGTTCTATTTTGGTTTCATCTGACCATATGATATTCTCCCAGTCATCGTCTGGATCATCCAAATGCTCTCTAGCAAACTTGAGACGGGCCTTGACATGTACTGGCTTAAGCAGGGGGACACGTCTGGCACTGCAGGATTTGAGTCCCTGGCGGCGTAGTGTGTTACTTATGGTAGCCTTTGTTACTTTGGTCCCAGTTCTCTGCAGGTCATTCACTAGGTCCCCCCGTGTGGTTCTGGGATTTTTACTCACCGTTCTTGTGATCATTTTGACCCCACGGGGTGAGATCTTGCGTGGAGCCCCAGATCGAGGAAGATTATCAGTGGTCTTGTATGTTTTCCATTTTCTAATAACTGATCCCACAGTTGATTTCTTCACACCAAGCTGTTTACCTATTGCAGATTCAGACTTCACAGCCTGGTGCAGGTCTATAATTTTGTTTCGGGTGTCCTTTGACAGCTCTCTAGTTTTGGCCATGGTGGAGTTTAGAGTGTGACTGTTTCAGGTTGTGGACAGGTGTCTTTTATACTGATACCGGGTTCAAACAGGTGCCATTAATGAAGGTAACGAGTGGAGGACAGAGGAGCCTCTACAGAAGAAGTTACAGGTCTGTGAGAGCCAGAAATCATGCTTGTTTGTAACTGACCAAATACTTATTTTCCACCATATTTTGCAAATAAATTCTTTAAAAATCAGACAATGTGATTTTCTGGATTTTTTTTTCTCATTTTGTCTCTCATAGTTGAGGTATATCTATGATGAAAATTACCGGCCTCTCTCATATTTTTGAGTGGGAGAACTTGCACTATTGGTGGCTGACTAAATACTTTTTTGCCCCACTGTATATCTACCGTTGTTTAGGTGTAGAGAAACTTCTTCCACAGGACGCAGTGCTAACTGGAATCACAAGCCAAACTTTACTCATCAACATACCAGTATGAATTATTCTAACAAATCTCTGTGATTGTTGCTGAACCACTTGCTAACATGTTCTTCTAAGCATCTTCACGCCAGTGTGATGGTATTTGTCTGTTTCATGAGACTAGCAATTGAAGTAGTAATACTCATAGGTAATACTAAGTGTAGGCACTGTGGCGCAACTTCCCTTATTTCCAGTTAAAACAGCACTTTCTTTAATTTAGTACCAATAAACGTACTTTTAGCAGAGGAAATGCTTTTCATTGATCCCGTGTGCCGCAGCCGTCTTGTGTTTTGGAGCCGTCTGGAGTACAAAGGAACTGCATGTCGGTTTAACCAATTAAAAGTTTAGTCGAAGCGTGCTGCCTGAGGATGCATTCAAGCCTGCTTGGAAATTTCACAGTTTTCTTTTCAAATGTTCGTGAAATTCAAACAGTGTTAATGTTTTCAGTGGGTTGGCAATGGGGTGGCAAGTATTTCTTCTGGGGTGGCAATTGCCACCCCAATTATCTCTTTGGGTCTGCCACTGTGAATTTTACGGAATTTACTCTGTAGGTTTAGCCTCCCTAGTATTCAAATAGAACTCGCCACTGCCAAACATATAACCAAGTACTAAAGCATATTAATAGCCAATTGAGTAATTATACATTGTACTGAAAGCTGTGAACTCATTCAGCTGTGGTCTGTCTGAAGTAAAGCCGCGATACTATGGTCTGAATTCCTTGTTCCTGTTTCTCCGCAGGCATCCGTTTAACTATAAGAGTAACTCGTTTAGTTGCCATCTCTTTAAATGCGAACTTGGCTTCCCTATTTTGGAAGGACGGCAAAATTGATTCTGTACAACGGCTCAACATTCAATGTATGAATCTCAGTATCATTGAGTTTAGATTATTAAATGGATGCAAAAAATAAAAATGGCGGATCGAGGAGTTGTGCAGCAGTTATTTTGACCTAAATGGATTGAAAAATATGATTCAAACAAAATATAATAATATCTGTAGAATATACGCCTGTAGAAAATATAGGAAACTGTTCTGCACTCCCAGAGATCACAAGCAAACAACAAAATGACTTGAAGGGCCACAAAAACAGATTTTGCTTGGTGTGATCCTTTGGAGACATTAAAAATTGTCTCAGCTTTATGACTGCTGTGTGGTTTCTGTTTAGATTGTGTATGCTGCTGTGGACTGTACAAAAGGACTGAACCATGACCTCTGCAAGCAGGAGGGGGTGGAGGGCTACCCAACATTCAACTACTACAACTACGGGAAGTTTGTGGAAAAGTACAACGGAGATCGTGGGGTAAGCTCCTGCCATGTAGATAAATATACAGTCTTATAATGAATGAAAAGCACATAACAGTTTTATGAGAAATGTGATGTTCTAAAGTCCATCCATCTATCCATTTTCTGTCAACCCCAAATGTGGTTGCGAGGGGTACTGGTGCCTTTCTCCAGCTGTCTACGAGCGAAAGGTGGGGCACACCCTGGACAGGTCGCCAGTCCATCGTAGGGAAACCAATTAACCTAACAGTCATGTTTTTGGAATGTGGGAGGAAGCCGGAGTACCCGGAGAGAACCCGTGCAGGCTCAGGGAGAACATGCAAACTACATGCAGAAAGACCTCGGACCGGGAATCAAACCCGGAACCTTCTTGCTGCAAGGCAGCAGTGCTACCCACTGCTGCACTGAGCAGCCCGTTGTGCTAAAGTGTCAGTACTAAGTTAAAATGATGGTTTATTTTATGTCTTTATTTATTTTTATGAATTTTGCATAGAGCAGGTTTCTATGCTCTGCCATTGTGAAGACCTCCTACCACAGCTGGGCTTTGCAGCTGCAGGATACAAAAAACTGATGACTGTAAAATTGTGTCTACTTTGTAAGTCAGTTTGGATAAAAGCGTCTGCTAAATGCATAAACATAAAAACAAAGGAGCCAGTCTCTCACAGTAACTCAGATATGCGAGTTCTCCCCCTTTGTCACTATCTTCGTCTTGCGTACAAAAGAAATGAGCTAAGCGGATACTTTGCTTTTATCTGATGCAAAATTAAATTAATAAACCTGACTGAGCGATCCTCATTACAACAGTGCTTTTATAAACTAATTTTGCCTTGACAGCAGTAAATCTTTTACAGCAATGGATGTTTAGATCAATGCAGTATCTCTAAAGAGGACTTTGTTATATGTATTTGTTACCAATAACTTTGTTTCATCACATCTGTCCTGTACAGAAAAAAGTTTGATAAGGTTTGAGCATTAAATCAATCAGTTCATGTGATGTAGTTCGATGGACTCATTCGGACATTATTATTAAATTCCCTGCTATATCATTAAAAAAAACAAGTAATCACTTATTCAGCTATATCTATTTCCAGAAGCACAACGAGTTCTTGATTAGATTCAACAACAAAAAAAATCAGATTTACTCTTTTTGTGTTTATCTGCTCCGGGTATTTTCCACAGTAGAAGCACTTCGACTATAGAAGAGTTGTTAAATTTCCCTAAACCAATCACTTAAGAAGTTGTATTTCTGTCTGTACGAAAAAAAAAAAAAAAAAAATACAGGAGTGTGTTAGACCCAGATAGCACTTCAGGAGGTACCGCCCTCCATAACTAAGCTACAATTCCATAAAATAAGACTAATGTATAATGTAACATTGACATTGCTTGTGACTTTCCCTAATATGTTCAGACTGATTGTTTTGCCAAAATGAAGACGACATGAATGAGTGTTTACAAGCATGCTTTTTGAAATCAGGATCAACAAAACCCACCACTCTCTTTTTGGCTACATCACACTGCAGCCTGAAGTGACCCCCAATCTAGTTTTTTGGCCCATATGCGACCTGGATCTGATCTTTTCATGGCTGTCTGAACAACACAGATCCGACTTTTTCCAATGTGACCCAGGCCACTTGGCTATGTGGTCCTGAATCCTATACAAATCTGTGAGCTGTGTCTGAACAGCCAGGTCGCATTCATCCGACCTGATCGCAATTAATACCCAACAAAGGTCACTCTTCTGGGTCTTGCTATGAAGAAGCGGCAAGAAAAACAACAAAAACATGGCGGACAATGATGCGGAGAGCAGTATTTATGTTAAACCATCTTGAAAAGATTGTGTTTTTATGGTTGGGAAAGATCGCTAGATGCGCTCCGGCACTACCATCCATGTTTACTTCCGTAAACACAGAGCATGCTGGCCTGTCACGTCATTGCGTCCTCTACTGAGCATTCGGGACACTTGCGTTGTATGACTGCAGTTCACACAGGAGATCACATACAAGTTGCATATAGTTGGAAATGTGAACGGCAACGCAAAAAAAAATTCAGATTTCACAAAAAATAGAAAAGTGAGCATCAAGGCCTTCAGTGTGAACATAGCCTTTGATTAAATCAGATCAAAGGGCAAAAATAGATGATGTAACTTTCTAACTGCCTTTATTTCATACATCCATCTAAACATGCATCATGTCACATCATTTAAGAGCGCTCCATTTTCTACACATAAAAACTTTGTGTAGAAGGAGCATATGGAGATTTTTTTTTTATTTATTTATTGGGTTTATTTGTAGTTTATGAGCAAAGCAAAGGATTTGATCATTGTTGGGTTTTTCCTTAAGGAAAGGACATAAAAACAACCAAAAGAGGGCTTATGTAACTAGATCATAGAGCTGAATTGCATAGCTGTCTTGATCGCTTACTCATCCTTAAAAAAATATTTTTGTATCACCATATAATCCTTTAAATTTTAAAAACCTGACTCCTTTTTCTATGTTGTTCACTTCTTATACACATAAAAACCAAACAGGTTTCCATGGCTTTCCATGGGTCATTAAAAATCATTAAAAGTCATTAAACTATTTTTAAAATTATAGCCTTAATTGGCATTAAAATGAATTAAATGTGATTATCGTGGCATTTAAAATGTAAAAATGAAATATATATATATATATATATATATATATATATATATATATATATATATATATATTAGGGCTGTCAAAATTAACGCGTTAACGCGAGATGATTAATTTCTGGAATTAACGCGATATTTTTTTTAACGCATTAACGCAGTCCCGCCCTGTTTTACCCACAATTCAATTGTAAGACATGAGCGAGATGGAGGAATCAGAAGAACCCGTTGGCCCGTTGGATGGACAGTTCAAGTATAAAAAAAACAAAGACGGGACCATAAATAAACATGTTGTGGTTTGCTCACATTGCAAGAAAGACTTTTCGTTTCACCGAAGCACCTCGAGCCTTAAATATCATCTTAATGCCAAGCATTCCTTTGTTGGGGCTTCAACTTCAGGTGTTCCGACTGGCACGCGTCAGACCACCCTCACCGAACGCAGGGCATTAAGTAAGTCTACGTCTGAGAAGCTGACAGACAAAATTGCCAGATGGATAGCCAAGGACTGTAGACCAATTAATATTGTCGAGGACACGGGCCTCGCAGAAGTTTTGAGAGTCGCAACTTTAGATGCTTTCTACAAGCCACCATCGAGAGGCACAGTGATGACTAAAATCAACCAACTTTATGAGACTAAAAAGAAAACGAAGGAGGACGATTTGGCTTCAGCGGAACATGTTGCTTTGACAGGAGACCACTGGACCTCCGTGAGTAACAATAATTATCTGGGTGTGACGGCGCATCACATCACTAAAACCTGGGAACTGAAGTCGTTCGCTTTAACTGTTATTAAATCAGAAGAGCGTCACTTCGCAGAGGCATGCGCTCAACAGTTTCAAACCGTGGCACACAAGTGGAAAATTGAAGAAAAAATCACAACTATAGGGACGGACAGTGCACGCAATATGACAGCTGCGGCTAAACTGCTGCCATATGAGCATATGCCCTGCATCGCTCACATGCTACAGAGAAGTATCACCGTGAGCCTCTCCGATAGTGGATTTACAAATGTACTGGCCAAGTGTCGCAAAATTGTGGGTCACTTTAGACACAGCGCAGCCAACAGCATGGAGCTTAAAGCACAGCAAGCAGCCCTGGGACAGCAGCAGGAGCCACTGATCCAAGACGTGCCAACGCGGTGGAATTCCACGCTGGAAATGATCAAGCGCCTGAACCGCAATCAAGCAGCAATTAAAGCAACCCTGGACCAACAACGCCACAAACTGGTTATGCTGACGCCACCAGAATGGGACAAACTGCAGAAACTGAGCAAGCTTCTAGAGCCCTGCAGGTAAGGAATTCACATATAATGTGCAAATTGAAAATTAAATTGAACTGATCAAACTGATCCTATTAAATGTTTAACTGATTTACCAGCATACCAACTGGTGTTCAAATATGTTATGAGTGTGTTTGTGTGTGTTATTTTACTGCAGGTATGTAACTGAGATTCTGGGTGGGGAGGCCTATATCTCCTGCTCAGTAGTACTGCCTGCTCTCCGCCACCTGCGTCAGGTGATGAAGGTCTCTGAAGAAGACCCTGCATATGTGGTGAGCTTTAAGACAATCTTCATGCAAGACCTTGCCTCCCGCCAAGAAAATACTAACAATGCATGGCTCAAGCTTGCAACGGCTCTGGATCCACGTTTTAAAGACTTGAAGAGTCTGCCTAAGTGTGAAAGGGAAGAGGTGTGGACCTCACTTGGAGGCATGCTTAATGAACATTCACCCAGAAGGTCTCTGCTGACTTCTCAAGATGGACCACCCACGAAGAAAATTCATCTTCTACAGATGGGCTCAGATTCAGAGTCAGATGAAGAGGTGCAACCTGACAAAGACATACACAGGTATAGGGCAGAGCCAAGCATAAGTATGGAGGACTGCCCTATGCAGTGGTGGGCTGCTCATTCAGGAGCACATGACAAGCTGGCACGGCTTGCCCGCAAATAACTAGCAACTCCTGCATCCACTGTTCCCTGCGAACGACTCTTTTCTGTCGCTGGTCATATTGTTCAGAAAAAACGGTCCGCTTTGCATTCAGAAAATGTTAACCAGTTAGTTTGCCTTAACAACTGGCTAAAAGATGAATAAATAATAGATAAATGACCTCATGTAATTGTTTAAAAGTCAAGTTGTTTGTTTTAAATGAAAAAAGTTCCATTCACCCATCCTGTATTTTCTAAAAAAAAAAAAAAGCAATGGCTAAGTTGCCAAAATTGTTGAGAATTAAATTCTTTGTTTGGATTTGTCATTAATAAATACTAAATGTAATACCCATCTTGTTTATCTTTCTGTTTTGAAAACAGCACACAGAAAATGTGTATTTTTCAATAATAATTAGGCTAGTGATTAATCGAAATTAATTCAGGAAACCTTGTGATTAATTAGATTAAAAATTTTAATCGCTTGACAGCCCTAATATATATATATATATGTGTATATATATATATATTTATTAGTGCTGTCAATCGATTAAATTTTTTTAATCGCGATTAATCGCATCAATGCCTGAGTTAACTCTCGATTAATCGCATTTTAATCGCAATTTTTTTTTTTGATTGAAAATCATTTAAACACTCTCTGACATACAAAAAATACATACAGGCTAGGTTTGTGCCAATGTTCTTTTTTTTAAATGAAAACAGGTCACAGACACTGATTTATGCCATAGAAACATATGGCAAGAAGATGGGGAAGCATGTAGCAAAAAATAACAAATATGTAGCCAAAAAAAAAGGCCCTGAAAACAGGCTGATGTAAAAGACAGTCTTTACAGTTAATACAGTCTTTTGAACCAAGACAAGCATTTTACCCTACTGCTATAAAATGCAGTAGAGTTAACATTAGATGTTAATTAACCAAGATAATAATGAACAATTTTCAATCAATACATCAAAATCAATAGACCAACATCACTAGATGGAGGTAGTCTATGCTCTAGAAAGTTACTTTTCAGCCTCTTAACGAAAATGAGAATACACACACACCCACCCACCCACACACAGACACACACACACACCCACCCACCCACACACAGACACACACACACAAGATACTGACCTGTGGCGTACACAGACAGCAAAAGTGCCGTAGCAGATTCCATTTCACCTCAGTAATCTGTTTTCTCAGCGTATTTAAGGTTGCTACTAGTTACCAGACACTCAACTTGTTTGTTGGTGGTGGGGCTTAAAGAAAAGGCACTAGCGTCACTCAGTGTATGAGCGTCTTTTTTCCTTGAGAAGCTCCGCTCTTGAAGCCTATGAGAAATGCATACACTGGGGGAAAATAGCCCCGCCTTCTCGCAGGCTGCAGCAGGATGTACTTGGAAAATTGTACCATAAAACCACATAGCGTTAATCTCACGTTAAAGAAATTATCGCCGTTAAAATGGCCTCGCGTTAACGCGATAATAACGCGATAATTTTGACAGCACTAATATTTATATATGTATATATGTATATATATATGTATATGTATATATATGTATTTAGGACGCAGAGATATGATGGCGAATTGCCCTGGGTCTATGCACAGCTCAGCCATAAATCAAGCAGAGTATTAGATAAAGGACAGCAGAGATTAGAAAAGACAGATCTTGATGTTTCCGATTGGTCCAGCTGAGTGAGCCTAAACCTGACCCTGCTGGATACTTTCTTTCTTGAATGGAAGTAAACTTTAAAAAAAAAAAGAATAATAGTTAGCAGAACTTAGAATTTAAAAGAGACAAACTTTAGGTTTTGGACTTTTACTTAACAACATAACATTAACTTAACAAGTGAAGTTTTTCTTTTGAATAAGCTAAAATGGGAAAAAATACCCAAATTCAAGACTGAAATATTTCTGTGTCCATCAGTTATTAGATATACCAAACTGAAATAGCTTTTGCAAACACCCAAATATTTGAAATAAAAATAATTAATATTAATAGGAGAGCCCAAACTTTTTCATATGACTGTATGGCACAATTCAATATACAATTCAAAGTGCTTTAAACTAGTGAACCAAGAAATAGATGTAAAATAAAAGAAAAGTAAAAGCAGATAAAGATTAAAGCATGATATAAGCAGGACATAAAACGCCTAAAAATACTTGGACCACAACCTTAAACTAACAATACATCAGATAACAGTTTAATTTAAACAGTCAATGGCAGCTCTAAACAAATGGGTTTTGTAACTTTGACTGAAAAGAATTTAGGCTTTCAGCACTTTTACAGTCTTCTAGTAGTTTGTTCCAGATAAATGGAGCATAGGAAGTAAATGCTGCTTCTCAATGTTTGGTTAAAGTTCTGGCTGTGCAGAGTAGGCTGGAACTAGAAGCAACGCTTTGGATCAGCTGCAGCTGTCTGGAATTTTTACGTGAGGCTATGCACGAGAGGCTATGCACGAGAGGCTATGCACGAGAGGCTATGACACTGTTGCAATGATCAATTCTACTAAAGATAAATGCATGCATGAATAGATGCATGAATTTTCTAGATTTCAGGCTTGGACATTAGTCCTTTAATCATTTTTATGTTCTTCAGGTGATAAAAGTCTTAGCAGTTACTAAGACTTAGTAACTGCTTTTATATACCCTTAAGAGGCATATAAAAGAAAAATGAGTCTCAAATTCAAAAACTAACTTCAAACATTCCCCCCCCCCCCCACAATTAACAATAAAATAACCAAAGTTAACAGAATTTTCACTTGTTGAAATAAATTACAACTGAAAGTTAGTAATGACAGCTCACTTGATCGCATTAATGCTTACAACTGCATTAATTTTCTGAAATTATTTTAAATTCTGTTTATTTATATAGAACCAATTCACATCACCTGTCATCTCAAGGCTGAGACAAATCAATGAGATCATACAGTCATATTGGTTCAAAGTTTTCTATCTAAGGAAAAACAGACTCATTAACTCTGTAGCAATGCCTCATACTTAAGCATGCATGCAGCAACAGTGGAGAGGAAAAACTCTTAACCCTTTGAACCCTACGGACCCACCGGCGGGTCCAGCTGCTACATGACCTCGTAGTTTTACCAAACCCCCAGTATTGATGTAAAAAACATATTTGGCACAGTTTGGTGACATTTATGGATAAATGTGCCAAAATGGCCTCTTCACCTAAGAAATTTCTCACTAATACCATTCTAAAATAAATATGATTCATCTGATTGAGTCCAAATTTGGTATATTTTTACACAACATTTAGATTTGAAAGTCTGTACTACTTTTTTGTGCTATAAATAATATTTTGGTAGTGTTTTGCAATGTTTATTTCAAAGAAAATTTTGGCGATGTTCAAAAAATGCAAAATATTTTGTATTTTGTCCCTAATATTTCAGGCAGGGTCAAAGCTACAATGGTGCTGACACCAGAAAACCATTCTATGACATCTTACCTTTACAGACGTACCAAAAGTTTCTTCTTAAATCTAATAGCTTTGAGGCTATAAGTTATTTACTTTTGTGTGTTTTTGTCAGGCAGAAATTTATTTATACCCCCTTAGGGTGTAAGAGGTTAACAGAAACAAACCAGGTTCGGTGTGAGGTATCTTCTTCTGAGGTAGACTGTCTAAACTAGCTCAACATGTGGATTTAAATAGGAAAGACACAGTTAAACAGAGGTTCTCTGAGCCAGTATTTATGTCAGAGGGATGAAAGAGAGCACAGTTAGTCCCTTAGCTTTGCCTACGAGAGAGAGAGAACGTGGAAAAAATGGAAATCTAGATAAGTAATTTTTGTCTTAAAATAAATAAGAGACATTTTGCCAATGGAACAAGACAATTTACACTTAATATAAAAACACAATTGCATTGTTTTATGTCAAGTGCATATTATCTAATTATCTTATTTTAAGGGTAAAAATACTCATTCCATTGGAAAACTTTCCCATTTACCTGGTCAAATTAAGGGTAAATACACTTAATTAAAAATTTTTGTACTTATTTCTAGATTGTTTTTCCAGTGAAGCAGGACTAAACACTGAAAAAAAGATTACCTCTATCATCTATAATCAGAGGGGTTTGTGGTAGAGCACAGCTGACATTTCTCTCCAGCATAGTGTCACAGCCAAACAGGAACAGACCAGATGAAGCCACAATGACAAGAAAAAGCAGAGCAAATAGAAAGTTAGAGGTTGAATTAAGGAATATGGAATGAAGCAGAATGATGAAAAGGGGTCCTTATGTCCTCCAGCAGTCTAAGCCTATAGCAGCATAACTATATAGATAGCTCCGGATAACCTGAGCCGCTCAAACTATAAACTATGTCACAAAGGAAAGATTTAGGCCTAGTCTTAAAAGTAGACAGGGTGTCTGCCTCACGGACTAAAACTGGTAGTTGTTTCCACAGGAGAGGAGCCTGATAATAAAAGATCTGCCTCCCATTCTTCTTTTAGAAAAACTAAGAACTAGTAAGCGTCTTGACTCAGAGTGAAGTGCTCTGTTAGGATCATAGGGAACAATCAGGTCTACCATATGAGCTAGAGCTTGGTTATTTGGGGCTTTAATAGGAGGATTTTAAAGTGAATAATGGTGGATGTTTAAATTCCAAAGTATCTAACACTGAATAATGCACTGGCTTGAATCTAGTTAATAAAATCTCTTCCTTTCTTTGCAGGAAGCAGGCTTCATAGGATTCATGCGTAACCTCAGAGGTCGAGACCAGGAGAAGGTTGGGAAGAGGAAGGAGGAGCTCTGAGGGTGTAAAAAGAGGGCGATGCACTATGACCCTTGAGTCTGGAAAGGGCCCCTTTCAGCACTGAAGTGGGAGACTCAATGACCTCAGCGAAAGGCTATTTTTTTATACCTTGGCGATCTCATTTTTAATGATACCAACAGAGTACTGACCAACCACTTGAGACTTCTTTTTATGGATATTTTTGATGGGCACAAAATCGATTTAAAAAAGTGTTGATTTCTTTATCTGTTCTTTTTTTTTTTTTTTTTTTTTGCCCAATCACTGTGACTTGAACATGTTTAAAGCTACACGCTATATTGTATCTATGCAAAAGTGACCCCTGCTTATGCCTGTGGGGGTCTGTGTGATCAAACTATGGTGGAGGCCGGTGGCCGATTGAATAGGATGAACTCGGAGGCTGCATCTTCCATCGCTGCACGAGGGGTTTTCATCTGATCCTATCAACTTTGCTCTCTCTTTAAATATGAATCACGCTGATCTTTTTTTTCTTCTTCTTTTTTATTATTCTTCACCATATTCAGTGTATTGCCCTCTTTCTCAGATCACTTAGAATATATTAGTCTTGAATTTCCATTTAACATTAATTTTGTGTCCCTGCTTGGTGTGGTTCAGGATGGTGGTGGGAGTGCTGGAGTCGATCCCAGCTTTCATCAGGTTGGGTTCTTCCCATGACAGATTCCCAGCTCTAAGCAATGCCAACAGACTGACATCTAAGGCAGCCCTCAGCTGAGATATAAATTAGTTATAAAAAGGCTCCTTATTGACCTTTTACATAAGCCGCCATAGAATCTTCAAGCTTATAAAGCAAAATGTGAAGCTGTGTAATCGGTAATAAGGGAATGTTGGAACACTGGATTAGAGGGTCAGTGTTCTGTCTGTCTGAAAAACATATCTTAGAAAGTTTAAAGTTAAAAACTGTGGCCTTTGAAAAATGAAAAATCTGAAGCTGCAAAATGATAGGAGAGAGTTAGTGGGCTCGGTGGCCTTGCTACTCCCCCGTGACTAGAAGCAGTCCAAGTAAAAACCAGAAAGAAATGAAAATAATCATCTCTTTATCACAAGCTGGTATTTTATTGCTTGGTTCTTTGTTTCCAATATTTTAACAAGGAGGACCGATTGGTTAGAGGGTTCAATCAGCAAAGTTATTTTCCTTGCAGAAGTATTCACACCCATTAAACATTTACCGATTTTCTCAGTTACAACCTCAACATTCAGTGTAATTTTTTTGCTTTTTGTTGGATGGACCAACACAGATGCTTTGTGCCAAGTGGAAGGAAGGTGATACTAATCTGAGAGACACTAGATTCCAACTAGAGACTCGATTCTTCAGTTTGTTTTTCTCCCAAATAGTTTACACGTTGTGATATAAGTTTATAAGTTGTAAAATAAGTTTAAGGTTCTTATATTTTGTCTGCTGCAGCGCCTGTATGTTTTTTTAACACTGACCATCTTTGCTCTCCCTATAGAGAAGATCCCCACAGCCCAATGCTGCCACCGCCGTGTTTCAGCATAGACGCTGCCAACTTTATTCCTGTTAAACACGTTATGTGTGCAATAGATTTTATTTAGGGACATCAGATTAGGCATGGTTGAATTTATATTTTCCTGCTAAAAAAGTTTTTTTTTTTTTTTTTTTTCCAAATTGTGTATCAAACGACTTCTCAACAGTTGGTCCTCAGCATAAAATACAGTTAGGTTTGAGGCTGTAGCTGAAGTAATGATGTAAAAGGGTAGGAATGTTTGCAAGTTTGCAAGCTTTCATGTTATCCCCTGTAGTTTTTGCACACCTGGACCTCCTACTTAAACTGTAGTCAGGTTTTATATCAGGGCGTCCAGCTTTCTCCACATGTCCCGGCTGCTTTTACCGCCTCATGTTTTAAACATCAGCCCTCCTCATGTCCCCACAGTCCATATTCTCCTTCGCTTCTTTCATTGCACTAAGCTCCAGCAGTGATCCCTTACGCCTCCACACGCTCCTCCCACCTCTTGCTGCATAACGGCATCAAATTTTGATCCATCATTAATACATTTCCCCCCCAGCACCTTGATTTTTTTTCCTCCCTTGGCATTTAAACTCCTGTCTGTTGCTTCACTTGTTTATTAATCAAAACCTTTTCTTTTATTATGAATAAGGTTCTCAGGGATAGTGTAACGCAGTTAAAGGGAATGCATTTATTTCATTCCAGCTGGATCATTCTGAGCCCTTAGGCCACCGTATGAAATATTGTTTACGTCTGTATCTCCAAAACTCACCTATTTCTTTTCTCTAACTCTTCCTTCACGAATCGATCAAGGCTTGTTGTAAGTAGAGGTTACTGAACCCTTTATTGTAAAACAATATTTTTTAATAACTTGTTCCAGAGGAAAGCTCTTCTGGCTGGAACCAAACACCTTTTCTATCCCGTGCTCCTTTGTGATTTCGTTGCTTGCGAGAACAATGACTGTTTTATTCAGTGGGGTGTAAGGTGACGTGTTGCTGTAATTAAGGTGGTATCCTCATCTCATTAAGCAGCAACTGCCTTTCATTAGTCTTTCTATCGGTTTATGTTTAGCAGCTGCCACACTGAGGTTGTGAATCATTGAACAATAAAGGTTTCTTCCCTTATTCCAAATGTATTCGTGTTCTGTGGGCATTTTTACAATGTATACCAATGCCAAGAAGTCGTTTTTGCCTTTGTTTTGTTTTTTTTCTCTGTGCCCAGCCATATGTACAGATTTAACCCTTGCATCAAGAAAGTAAAATAAAACCAAACATTTCCAACATTTCTTTTTTATTATTGCTTTATTTCACCTTTTTATGCAACAAATAATTTGTTTGCAAAGCATCTGCAAGATTTTCACATTTTTAGGGTTATTTTTATATTTTAACAAATTCCAAATTAGATCTATCTAGTTTATTTCTACAAGAAATGTATTTCTACAAGAATGTATTTGGAATTACAGTAAAGTTTTGCCTTTTATGGCATCTGTTCTTAATAAGTACAGTTATTTAAAAAAAAAAAAAAAAACGTACATTTGCTTATTTTTTTTCAAGATACACTTGCAGAGAGGATTTTATGATGGCCTCTAAAAGTTTCAACAGTAATGCTGTTACTGGTGTAAGAAGAGTTTTATAATCTACAGATATCCAGCATTAAATTAAAAGTAAAATGTGGATCGATTCATCCCTATCTAAAATAATTCTACAAGTATTAATGGAACTGCTGGAAATATGGGATTGAAATTTAGTGCAGCTGCAAAGAAAGCAAAGTGAAAATGGAGGTCCTGATTGTGGAAGTTTGTCTTAGCTTTTAATTTTTTTTCTTTCCTGGAGGAAATTGACCAGAAGCTTCAGCTTCGAGGGTCTGTTGCTGAAGGATTCACAACCTAGTTTATGTATCTTTAGTTTCATCCACCTTCCCCGCAGCATGATGCTGCCATCGCCATGTTTCACAGTGGAGATTTTGTATTCACACATGAAAAATAGCTATAATTTTTCTGCGTATGTGACTTGTTTTTGTTTTTTTGAAACTGTAAAAGCCTCACTAACTGAATTCAAGTTTTGTAAAGCAAGAACACTTGAAAACTTGATGTTTTCTGCTTAGAGGCTCCAAATGGACTTCACAGGTTTGTTTTGTTTGTAGTTTGGGTCGGTCCTGCTTAAGGTTCTGTTCTCAGAACGTGCCTTTATGCACAAATGGAAAAAAAAAACTAAAGAAACACCTGATCCAAATTTTACTTTCATGTTTCTAAGTGTCACTTTTTATTTTATCGCAAGGGGAACATCAAATTTTTATATTAAATGGTTAAAAAGTAACTAGATCTGCATATGGACCAAAAAATCAGAGATGGGAAGTAACGAAGTACAAATACTTCGTTACTGTACTCAAGTAGATTTTTCTGATATTTTTACTTTACTTTACTACTTATTTTTATGGCGACTTTTTACTTCTACTCCTTACATTTTTACACAAATATCTGTACTTTCTACTCCTTACATTTAAAAAAATTGGCTCGTTACTTTAGTTTTGAATCATTTCAATGGAGTTACCGTTATAATTTTTCACGTCATCAATACCAAATTCAATCTAATTGGATGGGAATCTACGTTGCATTTGACGCACCGCTACAAGATGAATCGACAGATTCGGCGGTATTCATTCACGGCAAATCATTGCAGCTTGGTGGCGGTGGTGTTAGCATAGTAGCATGGACAACGAGATGATTGAAAATGAACACAACGGAGATCTAGTCCTATTGGCAGACATCCATTTAAAATGTAGGCAACGGCATGAAAAAAGTGGTTTCTACTTTTACTTTTATACTTTTAGTAAATTTACAAGCCTGTACTTTGTTACTTTTACTTGAGTAAAGAAGTTTAATCAGTACTTCCACTTTTACCAGAGTATTTTTTAGCACAAGTATCTGTACTTTTACTCAAGTATGGAAAGTGAGTACTTTTGCCATCTCTGCAAAAAATATAGACCACTTGGAAGTCTGAGCTGCTGATTTTTTATTTTTTTTCCCTCATACAAAAAGAGGGTGCTTCACTGCAGGTTCTGTGATGCAGGTAGAAAGGAAAAGGATAGAGTCCATCACAACATAAAGGTTTTTTTTACTATCCATGCATCAAAGTACATATACCTAACCTTCATGTCATAACCAACCCAAAAACTCTCCTCAGAATGCATCTAGTTTACTAATGCACATTTGGATTCAAAATGGTAGAAATTCATAGTATTATTACATTTTAATAACAAAAAATGATGTTCTTGAAGTATTTGACATGATAATCAAATCAAATAAAAGTTGTCCATGTCCGTGTACATGTTTAATTGCCGCCACCATGCTTTTCTTGAACGGTAGGTTGGAGAATTGTGTTCAGTATTGGTCTTTAATTCCTTTCTCCTTTTATTTTCTGTTTTGAGCTTCCATCATTTGTCTTTTTCTTACTGATTGTTTTCCAACAGAAGGAGGTGCTGCAGAAATTGTCGCATTGAAGATTACAAAAAATATTAAACTGAGACTCCTGAGAAAAGAAAAGTTTCACAGCAGAGCACGTTGGCTTTGTAAAGCACACCGAAGAGATTAAATTACTGTAATTGGAATTCATTTGCAAATACCTACAGTCTATAACTCTTTTAACCAACTGCTGACTTCTTGTTTACTTCCTAAATCCTGTTTGCAGTTTATCTCATTGGGATGTTTTTTTTTCTTAAATGCATACTTTTATGAGAAGATGTCTTTCTTGTGGAAGCTGAATGTTTACCGCCATTTCATTTTGTTTGTTCCCTATCCAAATTTTTTATCCAGCTGACCGGAACCAATGTTTGTTTTTAACCACTCACTGAAAAGTTTGAAATCCACTCTTTCAACAGCTGAATCGGTTGCAAAATGAGATTTAAAAGTGTTTATATCCAGATTCCAGAAAGGACATTTTTTGTTTATTCTAGGTTTGCTCTCAAAAGCCGGAATGTTAAATGTTTCCTTTTTTTTAATTAAAGCGATTGCTTCACTGTTTTATCATTGAGCTTCAGGAATGTTCTTTTGTGCCTCAGATGCTGCTTTGATAAACACCTTGGATAGACAAAGTCATTCTATACTTTTCATTAATTCTTTGCACCAAAATCGCTTTTAGCCTTTAAAACATTATGAAGGGAATTTGAAGATGTTGCTCTCCTCTCCATCAGTGATGCAGTGAATGCTGGTTGTTTTTCACTAAACATCTTATTTGTCAAGGTATTAAACTGCCTGATTTTTTTGTCAATGTTTTAATTACAGACTTTTTAAAAGGTGAAAAGGGAAGTCTCAAAAAAAAAAGGGAAATGAAAATTTCTCCACAAACATTCGCCGACTACATTCCTTCCAATATTACTGAGTGTTGTTGACATGAGATTATGGGTCAAATTAGTTTTCATTTTCTTCTCTGAAGCTGAACTCTGAAATGGTCCTTGCAATGCTGGCCTTCATGACGAAATATAAGGGCTGCCGAGTTTTCGGTCCAGCTATTTTGAATTATTCTCATATTTTGTTGCACTGAGAGGGAAAGTGATGAATCCACAAGGACAATATTAGACATAAAACTCCACACTTTTATTTTTTTAAAGTTCAGGTGGTTTTGAAATTAGATTCTATTTTTCTATCAGCAGTCCCCATCTTATGCAATTAATCATGCTTTTCAGCTGTCTTAGAATTTCACAGAGAATTCAGTTGTTATAGGGAGAAGATTCTACAACTCAGTTGATAGGGCATGAGATTACTTGTTTTTGGTTTGTTTAATATGAGCGAGATGCGGATCATAGCACTGAAACAGCTCTGGTGAAAGTCACTAATGATATTCTCATGGCCTCAGATAATGGACTTGTATCTGTGCTCGTCCTGTTGG